CATTTTATTTCCCCATTTTTCCCCTTTCTCTCCCTTCCCCTTTGTCTACTTTAGTGATCTCCATTCTACTTTGATGGTAAATATTTATGGTCTGGGTGGTGAGAAGTCAGAAGGGTCTGAGGAAGAAACATTATAAAAAAATAAATCTTCAAAATGAGTTCTCTTGAATGTGAACAGGAAGAAATCTCTAAACAACCCTCATTTCTTGCACTAACCTGGGGCTTTATAAAATATAAGAAAATATGTTTCTGAAGCAGTATCAGTAATAAAATAATTAAAATCATATAGTTGACTGTTATGGAACAATTACTGTGCCCATAAACTAAAGTTTATATGTACCAGCTTATTTAATCCTCATGATCTTCCTGTGAGGTACTAATGGCTATTACCCTTATTTATTAAATGAGAAGCCCAAGACTGCATGGTGAGGTCACCTGATGAAGGTAAGTGCCAAGATTTGAACTTGTTTCAACCAGAGCCCATTTTTGTCACAAAACTGCTCTTCTGCAATATGAAATTTTAAAATAGAAATAACAAATAATTCAGACACAGAGAATTTAAGAAGCTGTACAATCGCTCTATGATTATGCAGTAAAAAGAAAACAGTGGGTAATCAGCCCTCTTTCTCCCAGGAAGAAAAGAGCCCTGAGTCCCCAGACAAGTGTTAACATGGAAGGCCCCACCTAGCTACAGCTGTGAAAGCTCAGACCTCTATCTGCATAAGATGGACAATTTGGTTCAGAGTGTTGATTTCAATCAAACTAATGGTGTAAACATTTTGGCATGATGTGAAGTTACCAAAGTCTTTTAGAGCATCTTAATATTTTTCCCAGTGGCTAGTCACCCATAAGAACCACTACTGATCAAAATGGTGGTTGAAGACCAAAGTATAAATTATTAAAGGGTTTCTTGATATGAGCATTGTTAAAGTCCTTTCCATTCAACTTCAATGCATTTCCAAATTACTTTAAGCATAGGTTTTTCTTGAAACATGGCACATGTTTATGTATTTAAAGATAAAAAAGGGAGAGAAATAATTTAGTGGTTTTATTTATAGGAACACATTTAATGTTAAAAAATGTCTTTGACCTACAAATGCCATGGTTTAGCCAGGAAGTTTTTGCTCTGCTTCTTAATCCCTGGATCCCTTCTATGTCTTGCTTAATAATATATTTTTAAAGTAGGAGAATGTCCTTAGAATACAATCCTAGTTCTGAGATTTGGACTGGGAAGAAGAGTCATTGACCCCTCTGTACTTCAGTTCCTTATCTACGTTAAGAAGCATGATATTTATCAAAATCCAAGGGCATGACACAGATCCAACCATGAACAAGATGGGTGTCCTGCTCTATGGGACTTACAGTTGGAGGCAGATTCTGACAAGTCAACTGACAATAATATCAAGATTATAAAACTTTGGTGGGGAAAATAGGAGAGTGATAAAATATGTACACTGTTATCTAAATATTGTAAATTTTACTAATTAACAGTTGCAGACAAAACTTCAGAGGCATAGTTTGTGAGCTGCAATGGAAACTTAAACTTTACTTTCCAAATTCCTATGTTCACCTCTAGAATATGCAATTAAACATTACCATCTTCTACTTAAGAAGCATGAATCAAGCTAGGCACCACATTACAAGCCTTTAATCCCAGAGGCTCAGAAAGCTGAGACAGGAGGCTTGCAAGTTCAAAGTCAGCCTCAGCAACTCAGTGAGGCCCTAAGCAACTTAATGAGACCCTGTCTGTAAATAAAACATAAAATATAAAAAAAGCTGGGGATGTGGCTCAGGGGTTAAGTGCCCCTGGGTTCAATCTCTGGTACAAAGAAAAAAAAAAGGCACCAACTATATGTCACATGGAAAATGTGTATTCACATTGAATACAAAATGACTTTTGCAAAACATTTGCAATTTCTAAGACCTTCAGTTTCCCTCAACTCCATTAAGTTATAAATGAAGATTTAATGTTTCCATTCTAGATAGATTTTACTCTAAACATAGAATTTGCTACCTCAACTTTCTCTTTTTATAAGTGAATTTCCAAAATGGGCTAAAGCTGCAACTGATGGTCTGGTTACTACATGGGCATTTTATGAATGGAAAAGTTCTCTAAAAATGCATGTTGTGAAATCAATCCCTAATGAAAAGACAGTAGCCTAAGGCTCTGGCTCATACGTTGTCTATAACCCTACCACCACCCAAAAAACAAAAACAAAAAAACCTGCCTTGGACAATTTCACTGGGCATATTAATTGAATAAGGATCAGTTAATGGGAATGACCAGATCTACTAACTTCAATCCAGGACAGCCCTTTACACACCAGCACCAGCATGTGTACCTCAATGAATGGTTCTAGCTAGACTGGTCACTAGAACCCATCAGGATTAGATGAGGAAGTGCAGCATATTCCTTGCTGAGGAGATATTCCTGTTGTCATTACTCAGCATGCTGAAGACCAGAAAAATTGCCAGAGCCTCTGCTATCATCCTTGACTACAGTTTAGCTCAATTTCACTGATTTCCTATGAACTAAATATTAACAAGTATACAGAAACCAACTCCATCAAAAATGAACAGCTGAAATATAAGGCAGAGATCTGAAGATATTTGAGCGAAATTATAATATGGAAAAAAATTTAAAAGTATGAATTTCCATCAAATCATTGCTGCAGTGTAACTTTAAAAAATTATTTTAAGAAGTTAATTTCATGAGAAATGTAGAATTCTCAGAAAACAGTGTAAAAGGTTCTTGATATCCTACTAAACTATCTTTATAACGAACAGGAAAGTAAAGGAACATAAATGTCTCTGAAATTTATTCTTGATTTGAAAGTGGCTATATTTTTAATATCTTTAGTTTCATACTAGACATGTAAATATGAGCTATACCACATTACACCCCATTGTTTATGGGAGCTTTTAAATATCTATGACATTCTTTATTTTAGAATCAGTCAATTTTCCTACATGCAGCAAAGAAGATTCTTTGACTCAGGGGGAAGCTGGTGACGTCGCATCCTAGGAGAAAGTGAAGAAACAAGAAAGGCTGTCCGTGTGGGAACCACTCTGTGCAGCAGAACTGGCATTGATAAATTTGAAAGATGTTACAAGCAATTTTAAGTGCACTATGAAGTGGTTCTATTTAGAAATAGGAGGGGTACCCAACATAAGAAAGACCTTTTAAAATTAAATACAAATAAATATTTTTATGAGAACCTTAAAGCAATAACATCCTGTGTCAACAAATGTACTGTTGTTGTTGTTGTTGTTTTTGGTTGTTGTTGTTTCATTGTGGATCGAACACTGTAGTCAGATCCTTAACTCCAAGAAATAAGCAAAACATGGGGTACATTGTAATTATTCAGATTAGAATCTTCCTTTCCCATTCAGGGTGTCTCCTTCAAAAGCGATCAATTGAGGAAATGAACAGGAAGTGGATTTAATATCTACTTGGATCACTATCAGCTAGGCAGAGAGCATGGAACATTTCAGTCCTACAGGGAGTCATCAATAGTTCCCCCTAAACACTCTAATTATGTACCAGATGGTTAAATTCAGTTCATCCTTTGACCATGAAAAGGTCAGACCTAAGAACTGCCATCTAATCGCCTTGAGCCCATATTCAAGCTTTACTTCTAAAATACAGACAAACCAATTTTTTTCATTTTCTTTTTTAAAATCATATTTAACAAAATAACTGATTCCTAGCATAATGTTATTCCCACCTTAGCACATGTGTCTAATTACCCCCTTTTTTTCAACCACACATGACACAGTGATAGTTTGTTAGAACTCATGCATCAAGTACTTATTATACTCCAGCAATTGGAAATGGGGATTTGGATGGTAAGGGCAGTGACAGTAGGATCTCAAATGTGAGCCATGTTATGAGAAAGAGAATAAAGATAACCTGTATGAGTGAGTGCAAATCATGAGTGTGTCCTATAGCCAAGATATGTTCATATTAATTTCCCAAAGAAGCCTATCTGTGCTATAAAGGGTGTTGTCTTAATACTATGCTATCTCTGAAGGCTTACTTAGTACATGCATGTCTTGGATTTGGCCAAGATATATGCCCCACATGCTAGCTCCAGGTACATCTTCTTCATCCTTGTCAGGGACAGCAATTAATAGACTGGCATGAACAATGCTAACACCTTACTCACATCAGAAAACATAAATATAAGTTTTCAAATACAGGATAAATTCTTTAATTTTGATATACTCTTATGGACAAATTACCCAGAAAATGATAAACTGTGTTAGACAGAGATGGTTATGGAACACCTTGAGCTTAGCTGATATGCAAGCCATGATTCTTACTAGAATTGGATTTCTTCTATCCAGATCTGAGTTGACTAATATTGTTTCAAGGTATAAAAATACTGGGTAATCTGAGGAATGTTTCAACTTTAAACTATTAAAAATGGCACTATTTTGAGATGTCTAGATCACACAAGACTAGCTCCATTAAAAGGTCATCATCTTGGGATAACTCATAAATGAACAGTTATTAAAAAGATTATTAAATATCGGGTCTAGTACATCTGGCCAATAATATGGCAAAAATTGCTAAATGGCTTTCATCATCAAATGTCTTAAGTTTGAAATCCTGAGGAGGGAAAATCAGATGTCTCCCTTCTAGTTCTATTATATGTCTTTAATCATGAAAAGTGCCACTCATCTTCACTAGTTTTAGTTCCAAACTGCATTAAATTCTAAGGTCCAGGAGAAAATAAAAAGTGGGAGGGGTGGGGGCACTTTCCTTTTTCAGTTTTCTGCAGAGGATATTATTTAAATTTCCATCTAAAGGAGCAACATTGAGCACGTGAAGTTATCCTGTATCATATTCACATTATGCTTGTGTCCACACTTTTCTTTTATAGGAGCTAAAAGTACAGAAACAAAGAGATGTGAGGCTCATACAAGGAAACAATGGAATCGGAAAGAAACTTGTAAAGCAATCCTTAAAAACAAGAATAACAATAATAACAAAACTCAAGCAGAAAAAAATCTTTAATGTCTACATATTATAAGGGGAAAAAAACAGGTAAGAATCAACATAGCTAACACTGCTAACATAAACAAAAAAATAAAATACAAAACACAAAAAGTTTGCCCTCAAGAATAACAGTGACTAAGAGGTGATTTTGGCATTGTGGAAAAAAATATATGCTCTGGAATAAGAAGGTGTCATGGTTTAGATATTAGGTGTCACCTAAAAGCTCATGTGTGACAATGCAATAATATTAAGAGATGAAATGATTCCAGGAAGTTGAGTTTAGGAATAAAAAGGTACAATATACAGGCAAAAACTCTGCACTTAGTAAATCACAATATATGTAATAGTTGGAATTGTTTTCATAATAGTAATGCTCTACATCCTCAGCAACAGATTTTAACCAAATAAGGGCAGTGGATTAATTTACAATAGAATCTCTTTCCTTCTCATCAACTGGATTGTTCAGTTCTATTTCTTAAAAAGGAAGTTTTAACAAATTACAAAGGTGCATCCTTAACACAACTTTAGACAACAATGGTTCGAAAACTATTGTGCAGGGAACAGTGGGGACTAAGGGCATTAAAAAGAAGGAAGAAAAAATTAGCAGAGGCAGAGAGAGGATCATCCAAAGGGTTGTGATATAATACAACATACAGAATAGACTGGCTTTATTTGTTACAGAAGGTGCTTTGGCTAGACAAGACTGTGAGGATGAATAGCAGTATAAGGAGATTACAGAAAGAACAGCCTAGCAATAAGAGCAATCTGCCATGAATAAACTCAATCAGTGGTAGGAAGTGATCAGCCCATTTCATGGAGATATTCAAGCATAGACTGAATTAGAAAACAGTTGAACCAGGTAACTTTAAAGTTCCTAGAACATATGTTCTTCCCAATTTCTGAATGTTCCCAATAGGGAGAAATCGGATAAGTTTTAAGTTTTTTGAGCCTTAACTTCAAAAAAGCTTTGGGAACTTTGACATAAAGCATCGATGGCAGACCAAATTTCTGGTCCTAATTCTTTTCTCCTCATAGTGGTAACATCCATAGTCTTGCCAGAGCTTCTTAATGGATAGACTATACTTCCTTGTTTTTTGACTTTGGGTTCTGTTAGTAATTCATATTGGCCAACAGGAAGTTAGTAGACAATGATGCCAGCAGAGGATTTCATGGCTGCCCTTTTGTACTTCTTTCACCATCATGATGACTACTGTTCCCTCAGCACAAACCCCCAAATGAGACAAACGGGGAAGAAAAACCTTCACTGAGCTGAAGATGACTTTTATCCAACAGCAGAGCCACTTTCATCTATTTGCAAACCAGCAGTGGAAAAAAAAAAAACTTTTTGGTATGGGACTTAGTGTTGGAGTGCTGTTTGTTACTTGGCAATAGCTGACTGATAAAACATTTGTTACAATAGAAGTTTTGAGGAACAAGGTGTCTAAATTACATATTGGAGACTGTTCAACTTCATTAATAAAATGACCTCATCAAAAAGTGGCCCATTCAATAAGACTGCCCAGCTATCAAAAAAGCATGAATAAACTTAATTTAAATCTTTTTATCATACAAAGATTTAAATTGTCTGGGAAAAAGAATGTAATTAAAATTGCTGTAATTATTACTGCTGGAATACTTAAGTGTTCTCTTCCAACAGGAAGCATGCACATTTTTAAAGAAATGAGATTGGGGAGATAAACTGTTTTGAAATGTTTTTTCAACAAAGTCTAAATACATTCACTCTGCCTGTGAGATAGGCAGCTGTGAGCAAAATGGGTTTTAATCAAATTTAGATGAAATAACCATTTCAAAAGTACTCAAAGAGATCTTTGTCTAGAACGTATCAACAAGTCCCAAAATGCAAATGTTTATGCCTATATTACAACAATGCAAGTGCCACACAACCAAGTATGTATGAACCTATTACTTCCTGATTCAGAAACTCCTAACAACTGAGATGTTACATTATCAAATACCTAGAGTTATACCTGCTCTACTACAGAGTGTCTTTGGTACAGAACTCCTGAACAATGAGCCAGAAGGAGGTTGTTATGGCTGACATCTTGGTAGATAATGGTAAAAACAACTCCACTATTTTCTACAGGCATTATAACAATCTTAATACCTACTTCACAGATAGTAAATCAAACTCATTCCCAAGGACCATATTTTATCTCAAGGTACAGAGTATGCCTAGCTGAGAGATGTAATACATAAAATTTGAATGCTGTAGGTTGCTTCTATTATGTAGTGAGATTCCCACTGTAGCCTACTTGGATCATAAAGCAGACTGGAAAAGCCATAATGATTAACACAAACTTATGCAATGCTCATATTTGCTCTATGTTCCAGCTATGAGAAATAATAAAGACCTTTATTTTTAACATGGTAGAATTATGGTTTTGTACCTATGAGGACAAGCAAGTCTGGTTTGTTTAATATTTAACACTCTTTGTAAAAATAATGTATTACTGTATATTGCTACCTTTTTCAATTGTTAGCCCTATGCTGGCATTTTAAATTCTACTCTCTAGTCTTAATGATCATTAATTCTGGTTATCTTATCAGGGATGTATAAGAAAATATGGAATGGGACACTTTAAGACAAAGTAATGGAAAATAAATTAGTTGAGAAAAGTGAAAGAATACATGAAAATAAATTAGTAGAAATAGTGTTGATATTAAAAGGTATCCTGGTGATTTTAAGAATTTTTTCCAAGACCGAAAAAGATTCACCTTGTTTTAGTCAGGTTTTATGTTGCTGTGAACAAAATACCTGATAAAAACAACCTAGAGTCAGAAAAAGTTTATGTGGGGCTCAATTTCTGAGGTCTCAGTCCATAGACTGCAGACTCCATTGCTCTGGGTCCAAGATGAGGCAGAACATCATGGCAGAAGGACCCGATGAAGGGAAGTTGCTCAGCTCATGGTGAAGCCAGGAAGCAGAAGGAGGGGGAGGATAAAAGAGGTCAAAGGGAAATTGTCACCTTCTAGGGCATACCTCAGGGACCCTCTTATATTCCACCAGCCTACAATTACCATCCAGCAGTCCATTCAAGCAAGAATGGAATGGTTAGGTAATAGCTTTCATAATCTAATCACTTCACCTCTGAATATTTCTGCATTAATAGAAGGTTTAGGGGGACACCTCATAGCCAAACCATAACACCTCTATGTAGAGTTAAAAGCCTTCAGGTATGAGGCAATAAGGTATGCATGTATGAAAGAGGGGTGCTTTGGAAATGACAATAATCCACCTAAAAACAAGAGAATTCAACTGACTCAAAATCAAAAAGCCTCCATTGGTCTAGAGCAAACAAAGCTATAGCACCAGTCTGTGGATCATAGCATATTATCCAACCAAGTGCTTGTGTTCTCCTCTTCACTTCCCTAGAGACTAGAGGAGAAAAAATAGGTGAAAATGTAGAATCAGCTCAGTAACTTGTCATTAGCTCTGATGATGGAAGGAGGGAAGCTATGCACTTCCTGGTCTCAGAAGATGGTAAGTTTCAGAGTGGGTTAAATTTTGCGACTGTCCCTGTCATCAAGAAGGGGTACATTCGTGGTGCACATTTCCCAAAGATTTGACCAGAACAGAAAATGTCCTTTGGGTGCCAGGGCTAAAATGAGCAGGTGAGTAAAATCACTGATTCACTCAACTGTGCACCACACTGCAGAGTAGCTATCATGGCTGAGCATGATCCCAGCTGAGAATGGAAGTAGACTGGATGGATCAAAAGAGGCAGAGCTCCTCCCTTCTGAGATTCTGGAATTTAGCAGAGGTATGAGAACAATGGCCAAGCAACTAGGGCCAGATGAAATAAAAAATAAATATAGGATGTGTTATCCCTGGTTGCTCACAGTACTACTGAATCCTATAGACAGAAAGGGTGGGTAAGAAGAGAGAGAGATCTTGTAGGGGAGAGCTAGGAGCCTCTGAGAGAGGATGCTGACCACTGACTTGCTTAGTGGAAAGAAGATCCTCCTCAGGCAGGTAAAAATGTGAACTTGCTTCAGACCAGCAGAACACCTCTTTCAAATACAAATGATGGGTTTGGTGTGAGGCAAGAGGGAGAAAAGCCAGGGAAAAGTGCTGAATGCACTTTGGAGGCAACCATATGTTTATTTGACAAGACAGTAGAAAGAAGCCATTAGAAAAAGCTAGACTTTAAGATGACAAGTCTTTCTAGGACAGAAATACAGAAATTCAGAGAAAGAACTAGAATGTGATGGAAGTTGGGGTTGGAGACTAGGAGAAGAGTACTAAAAACTACTGACAAGTCAGGAGCTGAAATCACACTGGTTGAAAGAGAATAGTCGAGAAGGACGAAAGAAGGCAAGAAAAGGCAATTAGTTGGGGAAGACAACAGTGTAGGACAGGCACTGCTGGCTCCACTCCATGTCCCGCAGTGATGGGAGGACATGTAAAACCTGGGTCCTTACAGGAAGCATGGTGTAGCACTAATGTGTTCTGCCACATCACTGTCCTAATCACAGCTGGAATGGAGGATGTCAATGAAGGTCACTGCCAGACTGGGCACTTTTTCAGGCAGCACAAATTAGCCTGCTAGAAGCTAGCAGGCCTAGACAGATTCCAGTGCACCAGACTATAAATCAACACGAAGCCAAACAATCAGAAATGCTTTAATCATCTGACAAATGATGAGGTGGATGCAAATTTGCAAGCCTGAGTTTTAAGAAAACAAAGCAGGTGGTCATAAAGATATTTTATCAGTCCTCTGCAATCAGGTATTTTCATTTTATAGCAGATATTTCAAATATTTACATTAAACTTCGGAGGTCTGCTTTTTCCCAATTCCAATTTGATTAGCTACACCAAGATATTTGTATTCCCTTGACTGTTTTCCCTTTTATTAAAGATCTCAGAAAATGTACTGCATCTTTAAAAGTCTCCTTCCTAGAGTCTTGTCAAATGTGAGATTAGCCAAAGAGCTTCATCTTGAGAATTGAAAGTCAGTTTCCAGACTTCAGGTGCCCCATGCTGACTACCCTGGAGATGCAATGGGTTCATAAACGACTGGACACCTGGGCCTTCTTGAAAGGGTGCAGAAGTGCTATTTCCTGAAACTGATGAATGCCTAAGTTTCTGCAAGAAGACAAGTTCTACTGTTAATAAATTTTTCTTCTCTGGAACAACAACACACCTGAATTCACTTAAAGCACAGCATCTGATCACATCAAATTGTGTACGTGGAGGAAGTGTGTTCAGAGATGGTGTATGTGGATAAAACACACGATCTTCCCTCATAAGCACAATGTGGGTATTCAGAAGGACAAGTGACTGACACTGGTCATTGCTGGGCTCGCCCTCAACCCTGACCGTTGTGTAGAGCAGTAATTGAACCTCTGCCAGAGAAAGGATATTGACTCCCACATTTCCATGAAGAAAGTAAACCATGTCAACCAAGGTAGTCTGGAATTTGGATGACAAATGGACTCCATTTGCCAAAATTAAATCAGGGATTTCTGCTTTCCAATCCAGAGAAAGCTGAACTAGATCTTGTTGGAGTAGAGGATGATTCTCAAAGGCAGCAGCTTCAGACTTTGACATCAGGACACACAGGAGGTCACGGCATAACTGTTGAGAGAGATTTTTGTTGTAACTAAACACAGTGAGCAGAAGGGCCTCCGTGGATCCCAGGAATCGAATGCTTTGCCCACCAAAACCAATCTGAATTTCTTGTAGTCCAGAAAGAGATAGAACATGAAAGATGTCCATTGAGCCTGTGTGCTTATCTGACAGAACCAAAGAGTATAAAGTTGACTGAAGGAGGAGCAAACATGCTGGCTGGGGGTCAGGTTCTATGCAGTTAGCCACAGCAAGCCAGTAAATGCCTTTGATGTCCTTCACATCACCTATAGGTTCTGGCAGAGAACAAGTCACAACCTCAAGAAAGTCTTTTAAAGAGTATTCTTGAAATTTCAGCATTTGGTCTGGGAATTGCACAAGGGTCTGCTTAAATGCAGAGCTCTTTCTAGCATCTTCTGAGTCAAGGCAGAAAACTGAACTTGGCAAGGAACCTGGTAAAGCTGCAGATGTGAAGGTGGAGGCCCTGTAAGGCTCTGGGCTCTTTTCTGGCCTCAGACTCCTTGCCTCTTTGTTGCTGCTGCTGCTGCCAACCTGAGCTTCAGGAAAACAATGAGATCCGGATGGCACCACACGTGACTTCAAAAGCATGTCCAGGGGCAAGTGCTTCAGAAATGGCAAACTTCTGATGAATGTTGTCACATGGGAGGTGAGCCCACTTGGGTCACACAGAGTCCCCACATGCTTGGCTTGGTGAATCATCTTTGTGCCAGTCTGTAGCAGGTGACTGCTAGTATCTTTATAAAGAGCTGAGAACTTGTGGTAAAAATATCCCAGCCTGTTGTTTCCTTCTGTCCTAATAGTTATCAGCGATGACGGAGAGCTATTCTTTTCAGCAGATAACTCTTTCTCATCTTGCTGTTCACAACAAAACTCAGGGGCCGTTGTGCTCTGAGAAGCACTCCCAGATGTGCTCTCTTCATGAGAAACACTTTCAGAGAGGACAAAGCAGAGCACCCTGCTTTGCCTGGCCTGCTTGCTTCTGCTATTTATAGACACTTGTTGGGACTTCTGTAGCAGCAATGTCCAGCTGGACTCAGTTCCCAAGTTGTGTTCATCTTTGTGAGTCATCAACTCACTGAAATTATCTGACTTACTCTGAAAATCTTCTCCATCATTGGTTACGTTTTCCTTAAGGAAAAAGATTTCAGGTAGATGAAAACATTTTGGTTCAAGATGGCCAGAGTACTCAGGACAACAATATTTGTAACCACTGTCCTGCAGTTCCTTGGGTACTAAGGACTGATCCCTTCTTTCTTGTGATGTTGAGGAGGAAGCTCTAGAGCCTAAGATTCTCTGTTGCATGGGATGACTCCAGTGACTGCTCTGATCCTCCTCCCTCCTCTCTTCTCTAATGATGCTAGAAGTACCAGTGGCATCTTTGGGCAGAAGTGGGACAAGATATTGAGTGGGCCAAAACCGATTTTTCTGTTCAAGATGTCAAAAAAAAAAAAAGTTGAAATGGGGATGTGGCACCATTTCTGTGATTCTTTTGCACATGATGATTCCTGTAGTCATTAGTTTCATTGAGTGTATTAATTCAGAGTTTAAGTAGAAAGCCTAAGCTAGCTGTATTGATTGGTATGATTTAAGAATAGATGATCTGATTTATACATAGCACATTAATTTCCATATTTATTATTTATAAATTGCCAAGTATTTTGATACAAGCATATTGTATAGGATTGATTCACAGTATCCACTTGTTGGTCTAACATTTCATTTTCTCTAAAGCAAATCCTAAGACCTTATTCAGTGTTTAAAAGGTCATTTATAGTTATGAAAATAAATGCAAGACCATATGTCCAAAATGTAAAAATATTAGGGCATACTTAATTAGAATTAGAGGGCAAGACCAAAAGCAATTCACAAGTATTCCAACTCAGGTCTGATTTCTCTTTTTGGTTCATTTCATGAGAATCTTGTGTCCTCTCTGGCTAAGTCAGCATCACCACGGAAGGCTTACTGCACATTTGCTCTGTGTCAGGCACCACAGAAACAAAGAAATAAAAGGCTGCACCTGGGGTAACCTGCTAAGGGAATGGGTATTCAGAGGAGGGTAATATCACTCCTCAATGCTGGCAGGAGGGGGTGGCCAGGGCCACATTCACCCTCTTGCTCCCCATTCAGTAATGAATGTAAATCTTTGGCAGAGAGATTTCTACCACTTAGCAGGGTTTTGTTGTTGTTGTTGTTTGTTTTTATGGGAAAATGTGAAGGACATGCCCTTTCGGGGAAGAAAATACAAGTAAAATCTTACAAATTGTATGCCCCCCAAAATTGTTAGTTTGATAATCAACCAGAGAAATAAGCTAATTAACCAAGTGTATTTCCTTTATGCTGTTGCCAACTCACAGTCTACAAAACGAACAGGGTTTTTAAAACATTAAATAGTACTCAGTTTCATTTCCAAACCCCATATCTGATCCTGATTATATAATTCTGTCTTTTAAATGCAGACCAAGGAAAAGGATACTGTTACAAATGAAAAACTGGGCAAAGCTCCACCAAACCTGCGTGCTGTTCAAGAAAGTCAAAGCAGTTTTCAACCTGCAGGATTCCGTTTAATTCTAAGTCTATATAATAGCTTGCCTTCCCTATTAGCCATTAATCTCACTGGGACTTCAAAATTCTAATTATGCAACTAAACATTAAGAAAATTTAATCACACAAGCATGCCATAATTTAAGGCGACCCTATCAATCTGAAAAATCATTACCTACCTCATATTTTAGCTTACGTTGAATGGTGCCATTGTGAAGTTTCTCATTATCCTGAAAATAAATAAAAAGCCCTCTATATTAAATTATAGCATGTTCATAGAGGAGAGAAAAACTGATTTGATTAGACATATTTATGGGAATAAAATTCTATAGAAACATACTTGTCATTCAACAATGACAACCCTTTTACAGAATTTACGTTCCCAAGATAAACATGACTATTGATCGATCTGTCTGAAAAAGAACTGAACCTAAACGGTTCAATGATCTTAAAGTTCTAATATTGAAAGCAAGATTTCCTTAGGATATTTCTTAATTTGCAGGTTAGAAATGAATTGTCTTTATTTTGATAAAAATCACCTGTTGCAAATACTTTTCTTCTCAAGGGGAAAATATATTTGTCCTTGAATAGTTTACAAAGTAAATTAAATATTTATGGAAATAGGTTACATTTGAGAGAAAACAGAAAAATGTTACATCTAGGATGTTTATAAATCAAAGAATTAGAAAACTTTATATTCACTTAATAAAGGTTTTCTCAGAATCACAAAATTGCCAACTAAAATACTTGAATTAAAAAGATTCATAAACTGTTAAGCCCCATCCAAGCAGTATTAGTACTTTTTTTTTTTTAAATATTCAACATCTGAATTTTCTCTTGAGAAGTGGTCATAAAAGACCCCACCACCATTCCCGCACCACTCATTTATCCACAAGGTCATCTTGAGAAATGAATGACCACTAACTTAGCTCATTCAGCTTACCTTCATCATATCTGCAGATGTGTTGCTGGCATGACCAATAGCATGATGCAAATCCTGAAGACGTCTTTGGACCTCTTCTTCAATGTAAGCATTGATCCTGAAAGTCATGGAGTCAAGACAAATATAAATGCTTCTAACCACACAAGGTTGCTATATCTTTCTTTCCTAAGCCCCAAACAATAGGGAGCTTTCTCATTCTAACTGCCAAACAAAAAATCAATTTGAGACCTCACACAGTTTTTTCTTTCCAGGAAATCTAGAGCCATATGTTCACTGTTTATTTTTTTTCCACCAAATGAGAAAGAACTGGACAAATAACAGAGCATTGAGTCTGGAAAGGAGACTAAGCGACCCCATCCAAGTCTACTGATTTCCTTAGCGGAAACCTGCTGCAGGATGGGGGAAAAAAATCACAGTCCCTCACTTTAGGGACTCATCTGTTCCTAAGGCAGAACAGTGGGTTTCCTCACCCAGAACAGACTGACACAGATGATAATTATTTCTCAAGCACAAGGTCACTTATAAGGATTACAAAAAACAAACAAAACAAAAAACAAACAAAAAAAGAGGTCATAAGATCAATACTTGTTTATTATTCAGCATCTATGTGTAAGACAGCAATGCTTGACATTCTTGCATTATTTCTGGTCAGTCTTATCTCTCCAGATGGGTTATCTGGAGCTGTCCAGTAAGGTACCTTAAAGGTTTCACCTCCCCAAAACCTCCAAACAGGGCCAAGACAGAGAAGAAGCCACAAACGGTTGACCTTTGAAGAAGTTGTCAAGTCCTATCTGGTGTCCCATAGAATGTAAGTGAAGTTGTATTATTACTTAATACAACCATTAGCCTTAACCATCCTAGTGGATGCCAGCTCGATCTCTGGTCTGCATTTAAGTCATTCAATACAGAAGCACCAGAGAGAGTAGGAAATTTCAGCCACACCAAAGGTCTTTCCAATTGCTCTGTTATAGGCTCATCTTCTCCAATGCTACAGACACTGATTAGAAGGAATTTTTTAAAAAAATTAGCTGGTTTTGGCTGGACATAGTGGTGTACACCTATAATCCCAGTGCCTTGGGAGGCTAAGGCAGGAGGTCACATGTTCAAGGTTAACCTCAGAGACTTTGTGAGACTTTGTTTCAAAATTAAAAAAAAAAATTAAATGATTTCCATATTTACATCTTGGAACATATGCCAAATAAATTTACCTGATTTGTGTTTCTAAACATATGCATAATCCTGTCAATATTTCTGTACTACCACTCAACAGAGAAATAATTTTCTGAAATGCTGGACAAGAAGATTAATATTTTAGATAGAATGGCCTAAATAAAGTACAATATTACCTTTCAGTATTGAAAACAAAATCATGTGCAACTGAACATGACCCAAGGGTATTCACAAATTATCTCCCCTGACCGTCAATAAAATTTGAAACTAGCCCCATGAGGCAGATGGGGGACAGACCTACACATAAGGAGCTACAGAGGCTCATGTAATTCTGACTACATTTTGATATCCAAATACTTATTTCCTAATCCAGGCCTCAGAACTTCCCAGTTTGAAGTGTCCCCATGATACAGATGGGGAGAAGGAAAATGATCGCTGCTTTCTTTAAGGCAAAGAATGATTAAGTTGATTTATCTGGGAGCTCCACACCACAGAGCAATTCACAATGCCATCTATATTGAAAATCATTTTATTACAGTAACATCAGATATATATTTATTATATTCATGGTCATTCTGAATATACTAGTACAGTTTTTATAATAAACTCCATCTAAGTATAATCAATACTTATATAAAGTAACGGCCAGCACAAGGTTCTTCTCAGTGTAATTCAATGAATTCTGTTTTTGTGCTTTTCATCATGGCCTTGCATCACTCTGGTTCTGGATGATCTGGTTTCCCTGCACCTTCTCACACAAACCATCTGCATCAAGATACCTTGGATTTGGCTGACTTGGTTCTCAGGTGCTGATTTAAGTTCAAATGACACTCCATCCCTGTCCCCATCATCAGGCATCAGCTGATAAAGACAGAGAACTTCTCAGGCATAGGTATTACTGTAGCCTTTGATAGATCCCTCTACATGCAAAATGGCCAATGCTGGTATGTGCATCACTAAATCAAATAAAATCAAATCATTGCATCAGTTTAATATTGAGTACCTGGCATCCATCAGGGGAGCCAGGTGAGATTTTTCAGCACTGGGTAGCAAGCTGAAAGAAGCAGCCTTCCTCTCCAGGGTCCCATGGTCACCTCTTTGAACACTGTCTCCCTCACAAATCTTCTGCTTTAGTTGCTGGATTTCATGTTCTAACCTACAAAGATGGGAATCACATGAATTTGTTCATTAACAGAATTTCTGGAACACATTCCTTCTGCAAAGCATTGTTTTAAAAAACCCAGGGTATTCAGACAAAAACTCTACATGCAAAGAGCTTTACTTTCTAGTAAAGGTGCTGCACACTTATAAGACAAGGTATGAGGTAAAAATAAGTCATAAGAAAGATCGAAGACAAGTGCTGCCACAGGGATTCAAAAGTTGAAGAATCTGACCAAATAAGGGTAAAGATAACTTGTACTACCTTCCAAGCATATCCTTGGAAATAGCTGTGAAGAATTCTGATTCCTTAATTCCTGCTTCAATAAGAGCTGGTTGTGGAGTACATAAGAAATTCTGTTGAATACTTCTCTTGACAAAGAAATTTATGCTTCAAAGAGCTTTCAGAAATCACCAATTTAGGAGGAAATTCATGGTCAGGCAGTTCTAAGTTGACTTAAAAAGACAGGGATAATATGGGCATCTGGAGTGATGGTGGAAGATGTTCCAGGTGCATACAAAGCAACACAAATGAAGGAGCTATGCCATGAAAACCAACCACTTTTGTGAGGGCAGAAGAAGAGGGGAGATAAAGAAGAGAAGACAAATCTAGGAAAGCAGATTGAGTTCTTTGACAAATTAAAATAACTATGAATCTTGGTTATTTTAATAACAACCAAAAAATTATCTCCAGTGAAAAGTGATACTTCTAATATGAGGTCAACTATGTTTACAGCCATCCTCCCACTGATCTGGCCATGCTTGAATCCAGGGCCATCAGGCTAGACTAGGGCCAAGCTGGCCAATAAATCTGGCCCCAGGGAACATAAGACCCAGTCACTACATGAAGGTGGGCAAGTTATTTCAATCTAGATCTCAATTTCTTTATGAACCAAATAGGAGTCAATTAATCTTTCAGTTCATTCAGCTCCAAAAATAAAATGCTGACACACCAAGGTGCCGCCAGCCCTCTGAATCTAAATTTCAGTAGATAAGAGGGCAAGAAAGCTAAGAGATGACTGGGAAATAGATCCATTATCATTTTGCGTGACACAAGTCCTATGTGACACAAGTCCTCAGTGGCTACATAAGCAAAGCAGGTTCAATTTCCCCATCTGTTAACTGGAAATGATGGTACTCTCTTCCACGAAAGAGTAAACGACAATGCACATATGGCATTAAAACACAGTCTGTGTTAACACAGGATCATTCTTTCTGGCTGGCATCATGAGTTATATTTATCATTATGAAAGGACTCTGATAAAAATATGTGATTAAATATGGGTACTGACAGTTTTCTTCTGTTGTCCCTGCTATGGTGGCAAGAGGGTTTTTCTAGTGGGGCTGCATGATACATGTTATTGGGGCTCTCAGAATTAGCAGGTAGTAGAAAAGAAGACAGTGAAATAAATTAAACCTTGTTCATAAAGTACTGAGAAGCCAATGGGAAAGCCAAGCTCAGTGTTCTGTTGTCCAATCTGATCCCACATAAATTTAATATTTCACACTTGTGGAATTTCACAAGAGGCCAAGTCAAGCTGCACAGCTAATCCTGACTTAGTCACGAGAACCCAGAGAAAATAAACACAATGGAAACACCCACAGCAAGCTCCAGGGACAGTACAGACAAAGCACAGAATCCAGAATTCACTGGCCCGAATTAGATCTTAGCAAAGTCTATTTCACCAAAACTCATGATGCTCAGGGCCTCCTTTGTGTGGCTTCTGAAGGAATGTTGATACTAGGAAATCCTTCCATAAAAATCACAATCTTACCTCCACTCTTATAGAGAAGTAACACTAAATCGCTGGTTGACAAAGTCAGTAACTTCAAGCTAAAAACTCGTGATGCATTCTTATTGCAAACTGCAGGACACAAATTGAGAGCGTGCCCTCCACTACTTCAAATTTCCTGAGGTAGGAGCTTTGTCCAGCAATTTCATTTACATAGCACACCTGTAATCATTTTCTTAAACCATTCACCCATTTCTCTGAAATAATAAGCTTTTTTATTGTTATTTTGTTGCTGTTTTGCCTGAAGGGATTACCAGAGAGCTATTATAAATATGATCCACAGTATAAGCCAATCATTTGGAGGGAAGTTGTTTTGACCTTTTCAGGAAAGATGATGGGCTACAGTAACATTTTTTAGTAGATCTAACTTTGTCATCAGCAAGTGACCCCATGCCTTTGTCAAATGAAAGCTTAAGTCTTAAGGTAGTAGACTGCTTCAGTTGGAGCCCCTATCAGAAGGTGGCCATGGATGGGAGAGGGCAGGTCCAGGCCCTCTAACCTGGGCTTTGGTTAAGGTCTCAACTGCTCAAAAGGTTTGGAGCTAAAAGAAAATACACAGACCTCTGATCTCAACCAACCCCTTGTATAGGTCAGGACACTGAGGCCCAAAGATGAAGGACATTGCCCAACGTCATCAATGTCACCCAGGCAGGAAAGGGCTGGGCCAGGGTATGATGTCTCCTTATAAACCTCCAAACCAGGTGCCACTGGCCCCTCTGAGAATCTTAGCATCATCTGTACAGAATTCGTGTATCTATTAATTTTAAGAACCTACTGTCTGATAAGCATGGAGACAGGAAACAGGCACAGAAAAATAAATATTCTTTAAAAAATTTCTAGTTTCCTAATTCTATCTTTTACAACACCCAAAACAGTAGTATATCACCAAGAATGCTTGAATATTACACTGTGTTCAAAATCAGCTGGAGAGTTTTGTTTGGTATGGTTGTTTTTTAATATAGAGTCCTTGATGCCTCCTCTCAAATATTTGAATCCTGAGAAGTAGGAGAAGTACTGGAATTTAGTTCTCCTCAGGTTGTGGGAATCAGTACATTAGATGTAATGCAGGAATTTTAGGAATGTCACTTTATTGTAACAAGTGCTAGCTCTAGAAGATGTGATGACATTACTGAGGAAGGGCAGGTGTGGGAACAGGGAAGGACATGAGGGAGGAAAGCAAAGAAGAGGGAGAGAAGGAACAAGGGGAGGAAGGGGAAGAAAAGTGGGAAGGAAGGAGGAATGCAGGGAGGAAAAAAAGAGGGTAGAAGAAGGGACAGAGGGGGCAAAGGAAGGGAATGAAAGGGAGAGAAGACAGAAGGGGAGGAAGGAAGGAAAAACAGAGAAAGAGAGGGAGGGGCAGGGAGGGGGAAGTAAAAGGGGAATCATGGCAGAAGTTTTCTTTGAGCAGTTGAGACCTTAACCAAAGCCCAGGAGCAATGGGCAAGGAATTTAATTATGATTTTTTTAACTTTAGGTCTATTGTTCCAAAACAAGGATCCTACGAAATGAAAGAATGTTTAAGAATACTTTTCTCAGGTTTGGTAAAAATAAGTATTTGCCTATGTATCAGAGAATATGTTTAATAATGCTAAGTGAAGTTAGCCAATCCTAAAAAAACAAATGCCGAATGTTTTCTCTGATATGAGGTAACTGACTCATAGTGGAGTAGGGATGGGGAGCATGGGGAGGAATAGAGGAATTCTAGACAGGGCAGAAGGGTGGGAGGGAAAGGGAGGGGGCATGGGGTTAGCAATGATGGTGGAATGTGATGGACATCATTATCCAAAGTACATGTATAAAGACCAAATTGGTGTGAATATACTTTGTATACAACCAGAGATATGAAAAATTGTGCTCTATATGTGTAATAACAATTATAATACATTCCACCTGTCATTTATTTTTAAAAAATCAATAAAAAATTTTTTAAAAAAGAAATTATTATATAAAAAAATCACTTAAAAAAAGACAGAAACTCCATGAGGAATAGAAAATGAGCATGATTTGGTTCCTATTGTAACCCATGTTCTCCCTACTCTACTCTCACCTCTCCTGGTCCTTCTCCAGGACCTCCTGCTGAGCTTCCAGGACATCGGTGCTACTGTTGAGACTAGCAAGCTTCTGCCTCTGCTCTTCTGTCTCCAGGCCCAGGGTAGAGCGCCTCTGCAGAGCAGAGTGCCTTCTCTCCAGTCTGGCCACTGCACGCTCCAGTGCCTCTCTCTGCTGCTTTTCCCGTGATTCTAGAATCTCCTTTTCCTTCTTCCTCACTTTTTCTTCCTGTCGTGCCACATTGGCAGTGAATTCAAAGGTGGCCTGGAGCTGCTGCAGCTGGCTTGCACTGGCTCGGTATTTCGCGAGCTGCTCTTCTTTTTCTTCCATTTCTTTTTCTACTTGATAAAGAGTGTTGTCTAAGCCCAGAGGACCTCTGTCAAGGATTTCAAGCGCTCTCTGCTTTTCTTCCAACAGAGCTGGCAGATGAGTTTGCAGGAGGTACTGTAGCTGGCGTTCTTTATATTGTAGCCTGTACTCTGCTGGCTTTATTTTCTCTAAATCTCCAGCCACATGTGAGACACTTGTGACACTAGCATCATTTTTTGCTAACCACTTAGATTGCTCCTCATTTTCACATTTTAAGCGCTGGAGGGTTTCCTGCTCTGCTAGGACTTCTTTTCTCAGGAGGTCTTTCTGCTGGACCAGGTCTTTCTCCAAGTTAGCTAGTTTGACAAGCTGCCTTTTCTTGAACTCCAAGAAATGTAGGTGAGCTTTTTCCAGATGCTCATCATCTTCCTCCTCCCCTCCTGCCCCAGCTTCCCTGGCCCGCAGGAGGGCTTCCCTGATGTCTTCCAGGTCCCTCTTTTCCTCCTCTGCCCGTTGGACCTCACTGCATCGCAGCAATGGAACCATCTCTTGTTTCTCTCGCAGCTGCTCCTCCAAGTGGGTAACAAGCAGCACCTGCTCCTTCTCCTGCTCCTCCAGTCTCCTTTTCTCCAGTTCCAGCTTGGCGTGCTGTTCATCTTTTTCCCGCTGGAGACGGTCCAGCTCTTGGAATATCTGAATCTTCTCCGCCTGCTCACTGTTGTTGAGTTCTTGGAGTCTCCGGAGCTCCTCTTTGACACGCAGAAAGCTTTCTTCCTCTTGTCTCTTCTTCTGCAGCTCAATTTCCTGCTGCTCTCTCAGCCGTTCCTCCTCAAACTTTTCCTTCTCTGCTAGCAAATCCTTGAGCTTGTTCTCAATGTGGAAGCTGCGGCGTTTGAGGCTCTCCTCCTGCTTGCGGATTTGGCGCTGCACGATTTCTGTCTCTTTGCGCTGGGTCTCCACCTCCTGCTGCATCCTCTCCAGCTCTGCCTTGTCTGACTTCTGCTTTTCCTCCATTTCTTCTATGAGTTTCCTACAATGCAGACATTGACCGATCATTATTTGATCACTATGTTAAATGTTGTTCTAACTTTTCCCTAACTGGAATGTTCTAAAAATGCATACGCAACACAAAGCTAAATTCTCCATTAAAATAAAAGAGGAGAAAGTGTCCTTCTTTCAAATTTTCAACAGCATGTCATCTGTCCAACATATCTGCCTAGTCTCCTGAAGTAGCCTCTGATATAATTTCTTTGTGGAGCTTAGAATCATAATGTGTTATGCATGATATAATTTTAAAAGCCCCCTGAGCTCAAAGAGAAAGAACCATGTCCAATTTAAATTTAAATGTGAATAATTTTATTCAGCCCAATGACTAAAACTTAAGACATTCAGTAACAAGATGACATTAAAATACTCATGCTGTCTTTAACTCTTGGAATTCGAATAGCAAAGTAGAGATAATAATTCATTGTTTCAGCTCAAATAACTACTTGCTACATAGTATTTAATCACTAGTTTAGGTAAACAGTAATCATCAAATGGCCCCAAATATTTGCTTATTAATGTATAACACTGAAAATAACTGGAGTCTCCATTAGAATGCTGAAATGCACAATTTTAGGGGTTACATGTGTGTTTTCTCTCAGAATACAAAATCCTCACTGAGTGCTAAATCAGATTTTAGGCATTGGCTTTGGCCTCCAAAGCAATGATACAGAATAAGATTGTGTATACATGGGCCTGATTCTTGTCTCACCAAACATCTTCCCTCTATGTTGCTGGAAACTAAACTGATTCATTTGTAACATTTACAATACAGATTCTAGAAAATAAATGGCTAGTTTGAAGATTCCCTATGGCCTTAGCTTCTACTCCAATATTTATCCACTTCTTCAGTTGTTAAATAGGATGGTTAAAAAAAAAAGGGAGAAAATACAGTTTTATCAACAAAGACTATTTCAGAGCATATAAACAACTTACCAAATCAATCAAATAGCCAGAAACACACATCCCTGGCCACATCCCACAAAAGAAAAGTGAGCAAAACAGGCAAATTATAGATGGGAAAATACATACAGACAAACAATATAAGGAAAAGTGTGTGTAAAGTGGAGAAGTAATAAGAAAATTTTGATCTTGCATTCATTCACTCTTTGATTCTTTTGGCTTTTTAAAAATTCAAGGAAGACTATTGAGAGAAGACATGTTTTTGAGTTAAGCTGAAACAAATATATATTTGGTGTACTAACCTGGTATATTAAATCTGCTTTCTGACTCTACTCCCCCTTTCTTACAAGTATTTGAAGATAAACTGCTTAAAAAACTAAACATGAAGTAAACTCAAACAGTTAAAAAGAAACCACCTACAGCCATTAGATACGTAAACGACAAAGAGCAAGAGGGAGGGCTGAAGCAGACACATAGGAAGTCAGTGCAGGCAGCAAACACAGGAGTAGAACTCAAATCCAACATGCCTTACCTTTTACTTTCTAATTTTTCAAGTTCTTCACGCTGTTGTCGCTCAAATTCAAGTCTAATAACATCAAATAAAAATAAAGTCACTTTTCTGAAAGTACTTTTCTCCCTCTTTATACATTCACATAATACAAAGCATCAGTTTTCCAAGTATTATTTTTAATTACCATGGATTAGCAAGTTTAAAACACATTCTTTGCTCTATGACTATAATTAGAAATTAGATGTACTTTTGGGTGCTTGAACACAGATTAAAGAGAACAGATTTGACTTAAAGAAAAACAAGTGAAGCACCTCTGAATTTTGAAAAGGAAGAATTAAATGTAACTTGTAAATGATAAGCATGTCTACCCAACTAAGTCACTGATGAGTATGTAAAAATGGAGAATCTCTACCTTAGACAGATGGGTCCTTTTATGGGGAAAAGACTGCCAGGGAGGTAGAGAGAGAGAGAGAGCACAGACATCAATTAAGAAAATTTAGCAGGAGGAAACATAAGGAGAAAAGCAGTAAGTCACTTATAAAGACAAAAGCCATGCACAAATTGAAATGCCTTCTTATAAATATTCCACTTTCCAACAATTTTATAAAGTGAAACACTCCAAAAAGTTCACTGTTCTGTTTTGTGCACTTCTCATGCTAATCATAGTACTCATAATAACCGAGTAACAATAATCATTGTTAACAGCAGTTGTATTTTTATTGTTTCATAGATTGTTACAGTACATACAGGTTCATCAAGATCCTCCTATAATTAATGGTTACATGACAGACGATTTACTGGAGATTAGGAGCTTGTGACAAAAATTCACACTGTGCTAGAAAAACAAAGTAATGCAGGTTGTTGGGAATTTTAAAACTTACTAAAATATTGAGAGCACAGGTTGGCTTCTCAAATATTAATTATTGTGAGGTTTCACTATTCATATTAAACAGCATGAACTATAATTCTTAAACTTACACATTTTCTTGTTATGTAGGTAGCAGAGAAATACATTAAAAAACTGAACTATAGAAAAATTCATTATAAATTGTGTTCCTTGGATAACGTGTAAATCCAGATTGGCAACAGAGTTACTTTTATAATGATCAAACATTTCAAACAGATCTCTTTCCAATTTAATTTGGGCTGTTTTTGAATGTAAGATATGTGGTTGCTTTTGTAAGCAAGAGTTATCTATGATGTAGCAGGTGCTGTGCTGGTTTACACATTAAGTCCCTTTGTCTTCCCAGGAAACATTAAGGGAGGAGAATATCGCCATTTTACAGAAGAAGAATCCAAAGCTCAGATATGTTAAAGAACATGTCCAAAATTATAGTGGTAATATGTGGGGAGCCAAGATTTGAACCCATAACACCATGCTTCCAAAACACCCTCTATTGACTCATTTTAAGAGAAGTGTTCTATTTTATGGTATAAAATAAATACACTAGCTAGGCACAGTGGCACAAGCCTGTAATCCCGGCAACTCAGGAGACAGAAGCAAGAGAATCTCAAGTTTGAAGCCTCAACAACTTAGTGAGACATTAAGTAACTTAGTGAGACCCTGTCTGAAAATAAAAACTAAGAAGGGGTAGGTATATAGATCAGGTGTCTGTAAACTGCCCTTGAGTTCAATCTCTAGAACCAAAAACAAATAAAAGAATGAACAAAATATTAAATCCTTCTTTGAAACTTGGTAGAGTTACATTTATCCTAGTGTCACATGATGATAATCTGCAGCTTACTATAAATATTGCCATACAAAAGAAGTCAGTCACATAAATATGAAGCATTTGCCATCCATGGAGCCCAGTCTAAATTTCATTATATTACATAGGTACAAGGCTTCATTAAAATTAAAATATGATCATTCTCTTTTATTTAACAACAAACAGAACCTTGGTCAATATTTTCAGTTTAGTATGTATAGACATATTTATCAAGCAAAAATGTCTTACTGAATAAAATACTTTTAAAACCCAGAGAATTACCCTAATACAATTACCTTTATTCTCAATTTTTATTTTCTGTGAATAATAGCCCATCAGTACACTTTGACAATGTCACATGTAGGTGGCACTAAGCAAATGTTACCTTGAGAGATGAAAGTGTGGATGAAAACCTCCCATCTGAGGATTATTTCCAAGATGCAGGTACTGTGATTGACACTCATCATGCACCACCCTCATTTTGTTTTCTCAACCTTGAAAGGTTGATGCATTTATCACCCTTATTTTACAAAGCAGGAAACTGAGGCTTAGCGGATATGATGAGCAGAGTCCAAGTTTGCTAGTAAATCAGTGCTGCAAACCACTACCACTCTTGCTAAGGAACAGCATGGCCTCAAGTACTCAAGGAGATCATAAAAATCTGAGTTATAATAGCTAACGTGACATTTTAACTGAGCCCCTACTTTGAAGTTTTAGGCAATGTGGAAAGCCAGAGCGTACAGTAGTCTGTAAAAGAGATGCAGCCTCTGGCCTGGTCTGTGACAGTCTGTGTGTCATATGCAGAGAGAAAACTGATCCCAGAATCTAGTGGGACCTAGAGTCAAGGCAAGCTCCCTGCTTCTAAGTATTACCTGTGCCATTCTTTCTCTTTCATGATCTGGGAACTCAAGAAATTCTCAATAAAACCAGATCTTGGTTTGCTGAGGGAGAAGTGGAAAGAAATGAAGCAGAACAAAACAACAGAAGCCAATCAGGAAAGGACACTGAAAGTTATATTAAAGATTTTGAACTTAACCCTAAGGATGGTAGCAGAAAAATATCTCGGAAAAGGGTTGTTGAAGAACACATACACTGGCTGTTTTGTAGAGAACACATGGAAGGGGAGCAATATGTGAATTCATGAGACAAATGAAGAAACTTGTAGTAACTTAATAAATTAGGAGACTTCTATGAAGGCAGGATCCACTATTTATAATAAGGGATATCCAACTGGAATAAAGAAATGAACATATCTTTTGATATGCAGGAGGTCAAGCTGACAAAATTCAGTAACTGGTTGAATTTTGGTAGGGGTGGTGACAAGAAAAAAAGAGTAAAAGATGAGCCTCAGGTTAGTGGCCTGGATTCAGAAAGTGTGGAAAGGAGGAACATAACCACCAAGAGACTGAGCTAAAGGGTCAGCAAGTCTGAATACAAATTCCAGTGGTTGTGAGACCACACATGAGTTACTTAATCTTGGATGTTTCATTTTCTTAGAAGTTAAAGGAAAGAACAGACCCTACCTAAGAGGGTTGTGGCCAGGATCAAGTGAGAGGACACATGGAAAATATCTGTTGGCACCTGTGCATGTTAGGTGTTCTGTGTCACCATCATGCTACAGTCTACTCTCAATGTTACAGTGAACTAAGGTAGGAAGGAGAACTGGGGAAGGAGGCAGTGTGTGTTAGGGGAGGAGGGAACTGTAGTATGAGCAGTAGTTATGCTAGTACTTAGGGTAGATGAACCCAGGACAGTTGTTAATGCCCATTGAAGCTACCAACCAATTCCCTCCACAGTTAGCACTGCTCTGAGTACTTAAGACTTAATTCCCACAATGACCCTACTCTGCCTTCTGGAAGATAAGTGCAGTTTCACATATGTTCAATTCAACAATTCCTAAGGGTCATCCAAATGGAGATGTCCAGTAGGCAATGGAAGACCAACAAAGACAGCTCCTCAGGCCCTTATTAAGGATGGGGATAAAGACTTTGAATTTGCCAGAGTGGGCTAGCAACTGAAGCCACAAGAGGGAGTGAGGTTACCCAGAACACACAGCAGAATGAGAATAAAGAGGCTTAGTGCAATGTCAGAAAGACCACTTATACACACACACATACACACACACACAGTAGTGATGGGCAGAGAAGGCTGGGTCCTCAAATGAGGCTAGAGATAAGCAGTCAGACACACACAGACATCAGGAAAGAGGAGGTCCTTGAGAACACACAGAAGAGGGTACTTCCAAAAAGAAAAGGAATCAGTGGTATTAAATGTTCAGGAATGTCAAGTACAAAAGAACCCAAGGAGCACCCCTTGAACTTAGCAACATGGAGGTCACTGGTAATCTTGAAGCAACCTTTGTCAGGTTTAGGGCAGACTGAAGTGGGCTGAGAAATGAGGTAGAAGAATATGGAGGCTGTGAGTATATATGCGGTAGAGAGTTTTCTCAGTGATTTTGCTTGTAAAAGGGATGTAGTAATTTTAGGAAGATGGATGTTCATTTTAACAGATGAAAGAAACTTGTATCTGTTTGATCCTGGAATAAACAAGCCATAAGGAGGGTGGGGAGGCGGGAGGGGAAGAGTCAGAGAATGGGTGGAAAAAACTGGGAGGAAGCAGAAAATATCTGATGGTCAGAGGTTTCCAAAATAAGAATAATAATGACTATGGGCAAGGGATTTGGAATTACTTTGGTTCAGATAAAATCTTGGCTCATATGTGACCGTGGGAAAAATCTCTCAACCTTTCTAAACTTGTTTCCTCACCTACAGATGGACTAAGAGGGAGGATCCAAGGAGGAAACACATAAACACTAAGATGTTAAAAAATATTAACTATTAATCCCATAGGATTCACAGTACAGGTACGAAAGTTACCATGAGAAGGAAAAGGGGGTGTTCTGCCACTGGGACAGGAAGGGAGGGATGCAAGATAAATGTAAAGCAGAAATGGGATTTGAGGGTGTTGTTCTCTTAAGAAGTCTGTATTCTCTGCGCAGTTAGAAACAAGGTCCTAAAAGTGAAGAGACATAGTGATGGAGTTAGAGGTGTAAGGGTCAAGGACACTATTTATAATAGGTGATAGGGCAGTAGGTAAGGGAACTGATATAAAAAAATGAAGGAAAACAGGGCTGGATGGGCATCAGTCAAGCTTTGAGATATGGGGGGAGAAAGTTCAATGGTCCTAGAAGTGGGACCCAGGAAAGTATAGAACAGAAGGACCATCTGAGCTATTGGGAAGAGGATGGCCCAATTGTTGGCAGAAGAACTTGATTCGATATTAATCAGGAAATATTAAATGAGGACAAGACTTAAAGGAAAGAGTAGGAAATCAAAGACATATCCAGAATAATTACTATCTAAGAAAAATGTTGCAGGATGGGTAATCCATACACAATCATCCAAGATAACAGCAGGACATAGAAAGATAGTGAAAGACTTTGAAGGAAGTATATGGAAGGGGAGCAGATGACAGGTGTAAGGAGGAGCAAAGAGTGGGACAGGCAGATGCCACACAGATGAGAAATGCTCCACAGGGCAGAGGAAGCAGCTGGGAGCACCTGGGAGGAGGACCTTAGAGTCTCTGGTTGATGAAGTCACTGGCTTTCCTTAAAGAACACTTTCATTTCATAACACTTGACTGGGAATAGAAAGGGTGATAGAGTCTTGGATTCAAGGCAACTGCCAACCTCAGATGCTTGAGGCCACAGCTTATGGCCCCTCATGAAGGGTAAAAT